AATAAGAGCAGCGCATCCCTTGCCTCCTTGGCCGGGATTCCCATTTCTTTGGGGGCTTTCACTTTTTCCTTTACTTTGCCCTGGCCAATTAGACGCACAATGCGCCTCAAATTATGCAACACAGCGCGACAAATTCAATTTGCTATGCCTTCCCATCTCCCTCCCACGCAGCCCCAACACGTGACCAAAAACAACAGTGCGAGCGAGATAGAGACACGAGACAGAGACAGAGACAGAGACAGCGATGGGGACACGTTGGAACTTGTGTTGAAAAATCCCAGGAGAAATTAGTTTGATTTATGTTGAGTTTCCGGTGCAAATAAATTGCCAAGTTTAGAGAGAACTTTGGACGCACTGCAGACGCATAATTGATTATGCGAGCGGCGTACACAGAATCGTTGTGGGCGGGGGCTCCAGGAGGCATAGGCAGGACGAGGGACAAAGGACGAAGGACGGCGACGACTGTACATTGTTAATGGTGCGAGGTTTTATTACTAGACAAGCAACTCGTCAAATTGACACCCGATTGTTGTTTAGGGGTTTTTTTTTTTGGAGCTTGTAAGTTAAGGAAATCTGGAATAAGAGATATAAGTAGGATTGAAGAAGTATCACCCCTGAATAAAAGGATATAGACCTTAAGTTAGTCTTAATGATTTCATGAAGCTAACCAAATGATAGGCTTATTTTTGGTTTATTTTCTAAATATACTTTTCATATTCAATAAACTTGGTTAAATATTAAAAAACTACCACACTTGTTTTTGAAAACACAAATTTAAGATTTACTACTACTCTATTTTAAAGATATTTCTACCCTAAATATTTTTAAAAACCCCAGCTTTTACAAAACCGTTTGCAACATCTAAAACCCTTCGTAATTTTCATTGCAGATTTCCTTTTCCATTTTCAATTTGGTACCAACATATACATATAAAAAAAACTGTAAATTTGTTATTCATTGAAACATCTGTTTTAAAAATAAACTCAGTGGATGTAAATCATTCCCCCTCTCTATCGTTACCCCCAAACCCCCAACCCCTGGTCTGCTACCATTCAGTTTTATCGTTACCTGTTTGTTTAATAAACTTTTGTGCGATGCATTCGAAGCGCAACTAAAGTACTTAAACATTTTTTTATCGCCGGACTTTGTCAGTTCAAATTGTTGTCCCAAAGAGGGAGTGGGAGAGAGAGAGAGAAGCAATGGAGAAGGCATAGCCGGAGGGGCAGGGAGGGGCAGGAAGCCAGAAACAGAGACGGGACAATGGGGCGAAAGTTTGTCGCAAGCAAAGTTTTTGTTCGCAAATTGCAGTTTACTTGCTGCTTACTGCAACATCATAACTGCGGGCCAAAAGGAGAGCCCCTGGAACGGCATCATGTGGGCGTGGCCAAAATGCAAAACTCTCCGCTCGGTTTCAGGGTTTATTGCACTTGACTTGGGTCGGTCGGCCCGTTGAGATGATTCTAACAACCACGGATTGAGAAATGCAATTTTGCACAGAGGAAAATGATGATATTTGTTAGGATTTTAAAGATTTTTGTTAAATTTGCTTAGGTACACAATATATAATTAATAAATATTCACATTGGGATAGATTGTGATTTACCCTGTAAAAATCGTATACCTAAGGGTCTCCCCTTTCGAGGATCTCAATGACCTTATTGAGCTGCGCCTTGGATGATCTTCATTAACCAAAAATACAAATTTAAAATTTGATCATAAATCTTGTAAATTCGATTATCAGAAAATATAATACAGTTTCTACCTCTAAATAAAATGTACAAATTCTTTTAGTAAATCCCATCTGATTTTCGCAGTGTAACAACTACTATGCCCCGTTAGCTGGGTGCACTGCAAGTTTGCTTTGACACTTTGACATTGACAATGATGTATGTGCTTGCTTTGTTCGGCTGTGTGAGTGCAAGTGTGAGTGTTTGGGTGGTTTGGGTGAGTGTTTTGGCTGGGCGTGACTGCGCTTTGTCATTAAATATCGATTTGTTGGCTGTGCAGCGCTACTTAATAGCTGCGACTTTAAGGCTAAGACCTCATCCGAACAAGACGATTGCCGGCATTGATGAACTGTTCCAAAAAAAAGAATTAAATAAATTCCAACAGCATATTGTTCAAGGCGAATTTATATTGCACTCGTTTTTTGATGCCTTTCCAATTGCTTTTTTGTAGCACACTTTTCCGCAGTTTTATTAGTGCAAAATTTATGGTTGCTGTGAAAACGCGGAAATTGCCAACGAATTTCGTTCCATTTGTCATGCCGTTTTATCGTCGTCCGATGAAATGTTCAAGAAGAGTAACAACCATAAACAATTTCCACACAAAAATTGGTTGATGGGTAAATAAATTTCTCGTTTGCTGCCGCCGATTGAATTGAGCAATTTTCCACCGGCCGTGATTTAGCCAAAAGCGTGGTGGTCGATGCCAGCCATGTAGTAAATGGAAATGGGTTCGGTTGTTTGACTAATTTCCGATTTACACTCAACCGCTCTCGAGGGAAATGCAATCATAATGCCGCCTAAATTATTCAAAGCCCCGCGATTGTTTGCTGAATTTGGGATAGGGAACTTGGCGGAGAATGCAGGATGCAGCGCGCGCGCGCTCAACGGACATTTTAATTGTTTTATTTTAACATTTAAAACCAATTTATATTTATGAAATTTTGTAAATTGGCAATGTCATAAAACGCACACACACACACACACACTCCGCCCGCCCACTCAGACACACACTCAGGCCACTCGCACCGTGCTCGCTCGTGCCCTCAGGTCGTTATATTCGCAACATTTCCCATTTAGCGTGACATGCTTTCCCGCTCCATTTCCCAGCAGCACCACAGCTTTTTGCTCCACCCTTTTCGCTTTTCGCATTTCCCAGTTGCCCGTTGCGGGCCCGCTGCCTTGTTATGTGGTAATTAAAATGACTCTTGGCCCGTCTCCGACGCGTTTTGGACAGTTTTTTACTGCCACTCAGCCGATGCGTCGTATGCGTAATGTCTGGCTAAATTATTAATTTACTATGGCCCCAACGAGTGTTGTTAATTAATTTGCATGCATACACAGTATTAAATCGCGATTCTGATAGGGCATGGAGCGGTGGTGCACTTGAGGATGCTGGAATAAGTGTGTGGCAATAATATGTTTTTGTGGTGGTGGAGTTACCACGATGAATCGCTTCAAAATGGATGCCCGTAAATCGCATTACCATCGACTGGCTGGCGATGGAGATGGTATTAAAGGGATATTCAATGCAATTATAAAAGGGAATTGTATAAGTGTTCATATATTTTTCAAAAAGCTTTAAATAACTAGACATTTCTATATAGCTTTATGTTTTAAAATCATAAATCCCAGCAATTCCTTAGTTAGAATTTCCAAGTAAGATCTTTATTAGGAAAATAAATTTCATATATTTATTCTTATTCTCTGCCAACTGAATGTAATTTCAATTTAAACAAGTTTCATTTATTTGATAATGTTTTCCATTGGTTTCATTTAATTCCCATCGATTTCCCTCACGTTTTCATCTCTAATAAATAGATTTAAGCTCATTGGCCTCAACCCACTCCGTTTATCGCATCGTTGCAAGGTGCACATGGAGCTGGACGTCGCTGTGTTGCGGTTTAGCTGCTCTGTTGTTACCTTTGCCTTTGGCAAATTGTTTGCATTGTGCCAACCAGGCGTATGATTAATTTTAGCCGGAAAAGCCGACTCTGCCATCCTACCCCATTCGCATGCCTCCTTTTGTGACAATAAAAATGTAGAAGGGAAAATGGGAGAGCAAACAAAAACATATAATAAAAACAGTAAACATTTAATTGCCTGACAAATATTTGCCCTTTTCTCTACCGCCGAAAGGGGAACGGCGAACGGCGAATGGTGAACTGCGAACGGGTTTAGGGCCAAGTTTCGAGAGCTCGGCAAATAGGCGCTGATGATGAAAAACTTTAATAGCAAAACTTCCCCATTTGGCTTATGCCCTTGCCTATTTTCCTCTGCCTTTTCTCACCCATCTCCTGCCTGCCGCCTTTCTCTTATGCATTATCGGCATACGCTGCTGTTCATATAACTTTGCTCGACGGTGGCTGCCGTTGAAAGTTTGCCGCAGCTTGACAACATTTTCACAGCCCTCCGCCCTTCGATGGTAGCTGGGTTCCTGCATACGTATTCTGTGTTATATGCAAAAATCTTAAGCAAAGTATCGATTTTGCCTTTGGCTAAAAATTATTTACAAACGAATGAACTTTTGGAGGCGGCGACTCCGTTTGAGCTGTCTGTCTCTCTGTCTGCGGTTGAGTCCTGTTTGTCTGCCAACCCGACAGTGAGTCCCTAGTCCTTTGCCAAGACCCGGAAGGGCCACTACAAAGGTCTCCTCTTCCTCTGTTTCGCTTGTCTAGGTCTTTGATATTGGCAAATAAGGAAAGTTTTGGGCCATTTGGTGATTTGCAAAACGACAAATGGGATGACTTGATGAGTTGCGATTAACTGAATAACATTAGCTTACAAAAGAAAAACAAATAAGTAAAGGGAGAGAGATTTAGCTCATGTATTGGAGGCTGGGATACTTTTGAATAAAGAATACAGACTCGTTTTACTTCGGTGACTAATACTCCGATCAAGTTTAAAAATAAAAGATCATTTTCATACGTAAGACTTAATTTTCTTTCATTCAATAGGTCTTATTCTTGTAGGCGCTATCCAGAGAGTGTTTATGTTTAGCTTAAAATTATTATTTTCATTACACTAAAAATATTTTATGTATATTCTCGTTTATTAATTATATTTTTTTTTTCATTATTTATTAAATTATTGTTTTAAATTAAAATATTTATTAATTACATTATAAGTTTTAAAATAAATTTCAAAATGTTAATATTTTCGCGGTCGAATGATTTCGATTACAACAATCGATAAAGACTTGATCGATAGCTCAACTCGTGCGATAGTCAAAATTAATCGTATAAAATACCGATCTTGAAAGTGTTGCCAGATCAGCTACTACCCCGTCAAACATGGCTGTCTTTTTCTGACTTGACTAATTTGTAAATATTAATAGAGCAAACGTTGATATCTACTAGTAAAGTAAGTTTGTTTATTGAAACATTTAGAAAATCAGTAGATTAAAATAACTAATAACTTTCCATTTCCCGGCCCAACTAGTGTTAAACCACCAATTATATCACAAAAGTAGGGCAAAAGCCCTCAGCGAGAGCGCAGAGGAACGTTTAGCTTTTTTAAAGCTTTCCTCCGCCTGCAAAACAGCTTTTTTATGTACAGCCACAAAACAGCTTTATTTTTCTGCGGACAAACTGGCAACACTGGCGCGGCTGGCGTCGCGATGCGCAGCATTGTTTTTGTCATCACTATTGCACTGACATTGTTGCTCCGATTCGCGTTATAATTTAGCCAGTTTTGCATTAATTTACCACAGTTTTGGGCCGGGCAACAATGAAAATATACAAGCAGAAGCTGCGCGAAGTTTGGCTGCAGATGGACGAGTTCCGCCAGTGGCTGCGCAGGGATCCGGACGACTCGTACCGGGCGCACTGCCGCTACTGCAAGTGCTGCGTAAACACGAAAATCAGCGATTTGCGGGCCCACGCCGCCACCAAGAAGCATATGAAGCAGGTGGATCTCAGGAACCCCACTGTTGTAAGTGCCCGGCACACATATTTCCCGCCAGTCCAATTTTCATTTGCAATTATCGCCGCCAGACCCGCCAGATTGATGCCGAGGGCCAGCTGGTGACGACCACCATTAGTCCCGCCGTCAGCAACTACCAGCGCGGCCCGAAAAAGACACCCGGTCCCAAGGTTAAGAAGGAGCCCGCGGTGAAAAAGGAGAGGAAGTCGACGGACCCGCCTGTGGACTACGAGCAGATTATTGAAAACTTGGCCCTGTACGAGACCGAGCAGGTGATGTTCTCCAACGTCCCGCTCAACGACACCATCGAGCAAGAGTTCCAGGAAGAGTGCGAAGTCGAGGGCGAATGTGACGCCGACGCCGGCGACGGCGGCCAGATGTCCGTGGTGAGCGTCGTCGACGAGGAAATGGTAAACAAAGCGGTGGCCAGCGCCCTTAGCGTTCAGAGGGACTCGTCACAGGTCTTTGGCGACTTTGTGGCCGACCGACTGCGACAGTTGAATAACGACGCCGCCGAGTTTGCCAAGGACAAGATCATGAAGGTCATTCTCGAGGCAGCCTCCATCGACCGGGCACCCACTTACAGTTAAAGCGACAATTAAGATGAAATAATTAGTTTACTTTATGGATTACACATAGAACTTTGCATGCAAAAGATGCGTGCAGCAATATATATAATGAACAAAGTAATTTACTTTTTATTACTGAATTCCCATCTTGAAACTAAACTCCTTTTTCTTATCATTTCTTATAAGTACTTCTTTTCAATTGATGCTTAAGAATAATAATTTTGATTTATATTAATTTTTAGAGTTTGTGGAGAAACTTGATTAAAATGTTTTTGGGAGCTGTGTCAATGAAGTTTTATGGAGTTTATATCATCAAAGGACTGCTCTTTTGTGTTTAATGTTTAAATCATATTCCCGCCAAGTAATTTCCGAGCCAAATTTAAATCTGACTAAATCCAAAGATGCGAAAAGAGAATTTTTGAAGCCAAAATAGGCAAGTTCATTGCCCAAGCAGTAGTTATTTAACGGTTTACCCTTTCAACGCTTTAAGCATTAATCTCCCCTAGCAGCCTATTTTTTTTTTTGCGTCTCGGATCAAAGTTTTACTAGAAAGTAATTTAAACTTTTGCTTTTACTGGCAGACTGCCGCCTGGTTACATTTTTCCATTTTCTATTCTGCCCCGAATAGGGGAAAGGGAGGCCTTGGGTTACGTTCCACTCAATAAACGCCAGACGCAAATTTTTGTTTAACTCTTTTTGCCTACTGAAGCTGTAAAATGGGAATAAAATACGCATAAGGATTCGATTGTCTTTTGCATAAGCTGCTTAGGTGCTTACTTTGATTTCGTTGGCATTGGCGGTGGTTCCCTTCCGAATTTTCTGCCAATTTTCTCAAAAGTTTATGTGCCGAGCGTTAAACTTGAGTTTTATGCGATGTAAGTAAGTAATAGCAATGGCAGAATGCCAATGAAAATCAGCTTACACTTTTTATGTCAGACTATTTTGAATTTGATTGCCAGACAAACATGTTGTGTGGCCCCTTCTTGTTCAATAATTAAACGACTTTACCTGGCCAGGGCGGTCGGTAGACGCCAGTCGACGGCAGTCAAAGGTAAAAGCCATGGACATAAATCAAGCCTGCCATAACTTCCTGCAAATATCGAAAGTCCATTAACAGTAAAACATGTTAGCTTCTAGCTTGGATGGTTGGCTAGGTAGGATGCACAGGGAAAAATTATGGGCGCTGTAGTGCATGCTCAAAATATCCTTGAAGGGAATTCTTTTTAAGTTAGAAACTTCCAACGAAGTAAAGGACTCATCTCTCACCGTATAAATCATTCTTATTTACTATTAGCAGCAGACATTTGGCTCCCCGATATTAAGTTCCTGTTAAACTTCAACTAGAATTGACTTTTCTCTATCAATAGGAGTCAAATTTTCTTTGTGTGCATCCATTTTCCCCCCATTTTCCTTTGTCTAGGTTGCTTTTTTAACACCTGATAGTGGTATAGGAACTGATGGTGGGTGCGTTCAGGTACACGTCCTGTCTGCATCTGATAAATGCCTTCGAAAAACAGGTTTAATTAAAATACACACCCATTCGGTGCTTAGACGCCATCGATGGGCTTGTTGATTTTTCAGCACAATCGAGGCGTAAGCATAATAAATACAATTGCGACAGCCACGACCCCCCCCCCCTACCCTGCTTATGGTGAATTTCCCTGGTCTCCGTGGCACCCCTCGGTCTGATAGTTTTCCCGTTGACAGTGACGCTGCTGTTTGTTTGCTTTGACATGTTGCTCAAATTGCAAATGGGCGGGGGGAAGAGTGTGAGTCCGGAGTATTTGTCCGCCTTTATTTGTGTTTATGTTTGCCAAAGGATATTATTAATGCGCTGCGTTTCGGCAGCAGTTTAAGCAATCGATGAAATTACTAAGCTCTAATGCTGTCATGTCCGGGCAACAATTAAAATAAATACGGGAAGCTTTCAATTGAGTTATGGAAGCTCGTTATATTAAATGCAAATTTCAGCAGTGTTGCTGGGAATTTAATAGTGTTTAAATTCATCAAGCAGAATCCTTTTGTTCTAGACATCCCTTTGCCTTTATCTTGAGCCCTAAATAAATCCTTTTTAAAATTTGTAGATACTTTTGAACTTGGCACCATAACTATGTTAAATTTCAACTGAACGACAGCATTTGGTGACCCCTGGCAGACTTCCCTTTGCCCTTCGATGATAAACTAAAAATCCATTTTCATTAGCTCATCGTGTCCTTGCCTCCTTGTCGGCTGAAAAGGTTTCCAAGGGAGCTTCCATCGGATTGATGTGTTCGGTAGCACAGTTGTCGTCGGTCTTGACATGTCTGCCTGCCTATTTTTATGTCATTTCAGCATTTCACTCCATGGACGGTCCAAAAGGGGACGGCCGGGGCTCGCAGATTAACAGATTATGATCTGACATGAGTGGAAATGTTGTTAGAAAACTTCATTAGCAACATGTGTGTTTGTGCCCGTGTCCTGGATGCGAGAGGAGAGCGATGTGCGTCGATTCTTCTTGCGCTTCGGTGCGCAATTAAAGCAATAAAAGTGTGGACGACTGCACACTGAATGGCCCATGGACATGGCCGGCTTCAGTTCATCCAATCTGGGACCCAGCCAACCCGCTCAGTTCTTCTCAAAATCCCCACAAGTTCAGGAACTCAAAAAAAAAAAAAGTATAAAAGTTGTCGAGTGGATACAGGGAAAAATAATTGAGAAACGAATTTGGTTCTGTTGAATTTTAAGCTTTAATTTGGTCGAGGTGATGCTCTTTAAGGGAGAATATATAAAAATTAATTGATATTAAAAGGAACTTAAAGTTCTTTGAATTTCTAGACTAAATTTATTTTAAGAGACTGATTTATCAGCATAGAAAAAATTATCTAAAATGTTGCTCTCCTTAATACATTATTACTGGAGACCTTTCCCGGAAAGAGTATCCCTAAATTGTTTTTCCCGTTTCCATTTTCAAGTTTCCCTTTTTAATTCCCAATCGAATTTGTTGGGTTTATTTCCGTTGCTGTTGTTGCGGGGCTCCTGTTGGCCACTGTGATTGGGCCACACCACCACTGGCCCAACACTGGCCACTGGATCGCTAATCCCCACTTTTGGACGGCCGTAAAGCCTATTTGAAACTTTATTTAATGCAATTCCCGCTTGAAAATCTATGTGCTTATTTAATGGATAGCGTATTTAGTAGATTTTCGGTTCGAGTCAACTGGACCAGCATAATGGGAATTAGAAATTAATTTCTGACCGTGTGGCCGGAACACAAACAGTTACGCAGGAGCGAGAGCGAGAATCAACGCAGCGCTTCGCCGCAACCCATTTTCCGATGAAACGTTTTCCGAAGCCGCACTGCACTTTATTAAAAGGATGGCATTATAGCAACTGAGGAAGGGTGAGACGGACAGACGGACAGGGTCCAAGTGCGGTTACACTGTAAATTAAATATAAAATGTCCTGCGGACTGTCGGTCTTTATGCCATGCGGCTGGCCAGCAACGATGTCGACATCGGTCAGCATTGCAACTGCGGAGCTTGGGTAAAACTTTCCTTTCCTCTTGGCATTTTCGAAATGCTTTTCCCAATGCTGCCCCCTAAAATGCAAAACAAAAGGCAAAAGTTGACACACCCAAAAAAAAAAAAAAGAAAGAAAAGTTTACTACAAAAAACACGAAACAAACTTTAAGCATGCGGATGCAACCGCCTGGCGAAGGGACGCGGCAGCGGACAAGGATATTCGGACGCACATATACAAGTCAACTGAACAATTTCAAGTGCACTCTTATTTTATTCAGCTTTTTGCCTTTCATTTTGCCGCACACAACATGGAAGAACAACAACGGCCCAGGCAATGGCAAAAAACGTCATTCAAGAGATGTCCAGGCGACCAAATTCAATTATTTTATTTGATTAAAATATTAAGATGTAAATATGGTTCAATATCTCTTGGGGTTTCGCTGGTAATTCAATTATAAACTCAATTGGATTACAATTAAATTTAATAAGATAATCAATTATTTATAGTTTTAATTGAATTGATTAAAAACTAACAAATTGGTTTGGTTTTCCACTGAATTTTAATTCAACAAGTTTTGTAAGAAGCTAATTAAATTAAATATTAATAATAAATTAAACAAACCTTTATAAGTATTTTATTTTAAAGCATTTTTAAACCCTTAATTTTATCCTTAAATGTAAATTTTTGTCTGGTGCACAAGCAGGAATTCACTTGATGTTTTTTTGATGAAAATAATTGCAACATACTTTGCCGACGACTTTTCCACTAACAGAGGCCATGGTCACGTTGGCCCAAAACTAGACAACGCGGCGTATACGTATTGCGGGCTCTTGAGACGCCTTCCGCTCGGCATGGCATGGCATTTGCGCTTGAGTCCGAAATATAATTTGCTTTATTATATGCACTCAGTCGTCACAAATTGGCCGGCGCAACAATAAAACGTGCAGCAAAAGCAACAGAGATCGAGTTGGTGATGGCCGACACCGGAAGTGCAGGGAAAGAGGAAGCAACAGCAACAGCAGGAGGAAGCGGAAGCGGAAGAAAAAGGACAGGAGTGCGTTGTGTCTGGGGGGAAAGTGAGCAACTTGGATTTGATTGCAAGTTCCATGGCGTAGAAAGTAAAATGGCAAGTCACATATTAATATGCAGACCGAGTCCAGTCTCAACTTGCCCGTAAATCACCTGAAGAGAAGCCGCAGGAACTCCGAGTAACCATAAACTCAGAAGCTGGGAACTGGTGTTGGTACCACAGATACGCAACAGCTGTTAATTTGCTCTAGCAACTTCTCGTTTTGGCCGGGCGGCCGCCGCAAAAGTTCAAGTCAAAATGAAGATTTATTTGTCTGGCTGGCGGATGTAGTGGAGTCTCCATGATCACGTGTCTCATTGCAATTTCCGCAGCCGGATATTTGCCCAGCGTGCGAGTGGGGGGATTAGGGGACCGCCCTACTCCGTTTCTGAATCGGAATCGTAGCCAACTTTGCTACTAATTTGTTGCACAAACTTCCACTTCATTCCTATCTCCATTGCCATCGTGCCCTCTCATCGGCAGATGTCGGAGTGCCAAGACTCGATTTTAATGGCACTTGAACTATGGGTTGGCCGACGGCCTGAAGCACACAGATCTCTCTACTTATTTTTCTTGGTCAATTGCTTGATATGTGGTCAGCTAGAGATGGTTGCGTGAAAGGATTTGGTCAAAGGATATGGGAAAGAGGAGATTTTCTTTACAGGTAAGCTAAGAAGTGGCTACTTTTGAATAAATGCGAGAAAGTAAGAATTAAAGTAGTA